CAGTCGGGCAGCAGTCGGGGGAGGAGCTGCGTCTTCTGACTCCCCCCATTTTGTTAATAAGCCCTGAGTAAGTCAGTCCAGCGCACATGATACTTATTACACATGCTACTTACACACTCCTGCTGGGGGAGCAGTCATTGTTCATCCACTTGGGCTGAATTTCATTATAACCCAAGGGTGCACTCGGCCAGATTGGGTTGGTCAAAGGATTGCCGGGCACCGGTGAAGCGGGGGGATCGGCATCGAACAGTGCGTGCCGGGGGCGTAAGTCGGCATTTTGGGGGATCTCCGACACCGAAATCAAACAATAGACAAATGTATAAGAGGATGGAGGGACAAATATGGAGTGTTTGATCGGAAAATACTTTAAATGAATATGGGAAATCTAAAGAAACATTTGTTTCAAGGCTTGAATGCATTTCTTAAAACAGAATTACCTAACACTAATCTGGTTTTCTAGTTTTTTAGGGTATGTTAGGTGGGACTTATCCAAATGGGCCGCACTGTACTTAGCCCCCTTTCATCCTGGCCTGTTTCTGTTTTATGTGTGTGCGCCTTTCACTTCGAGTCCCATTTTTTCGTTGCTCGTTTCGATTTCGTTACGTAGACACTTTCGCTTTATGGTTTTCGTTACATTTTGATTTACGCCCTCCAACGATCATCGCTCTATCTATCTCTTTTCGCAGCCTCTATCTGTCTCTCTCACTAGCCCACCACCTCTCTCTATCTCTCTATATCTGTCTGTCTTTCTCTCTCTCTCCTCCCACTGCCGTCTCAGCCTCTATGAGACATGTTTTTTTTTTTGCCCAGTGTGTGTTTGAGCCCGTGTCCAGACCCCGGAAAGTGACCATCAAACTATATGAAAGACACAACAAAAAATTCAAAAGCAAAGCCTCACATATAAATTGTACTCTTCCAACGATTGGACCTCTGCTAACTTGAATGTAAAAGCTCTGCCAATTTGGACCCAACATCCCAACCAAACTCACGCTAACCAAAAACCAAGAAACCAAAAACCAAAAACAAACAGCAAACGTATTGTGCCAATTGTGATGAACGTAATACAAAAATCTGCCTCTCTCACCAAAATCACCACAAGAAACTACAGCTAATATTCAAAGAGTAAAGATCATAGTGCAAAAGAAAAAAAAAAAAAATAAAACAATTATGCAAAGAAAACTAAAAGTGCAACACGCCAAAAGCACAGGACACGAACTAACACCAAAGTCACCTTCACGAGTTCACAAAAATCAGTTAAGTCACGAGTCACGTTTCACCAAAAGTCACCAATATCACGATTCAGCAAAAAATTTAATTAGCAAGCGCCAAAGAGCAGAGCCAGACACGAATCACACACAAGATTTTAAAAAAAGCTCACACACGCCAGCACACTTTAAAAATCTCCAAAAACCGATTCCAGATTCCCGATCCCCCACTGAAATCCCCTCACGAACCGTGCCCAGAAGTCTCGAGGAGGTTTCAAAACTCTTTTTTGAATCCCCGAAAGCAGACTACGAAGAAAGTTTTAGTGAAATTCGTTCCTTGGTTCTAGAAATAAAATGTAGAATTTGATTTGTAAATTATAATTTCAAATAAAAATGATTCTTGATGTGTAGTAAAGGCTATTTTTACCTTACGAAATTTAATTTATATTTATTTCTATCAATATCTGAGTACGTTTTTGGTTACTATCAATAGGGTTTCGAAAAACTGTAGAGATTTCTGGGCTATTCTAAAAATAAATTAGTTTTCACTACCACGCTCTGTCTTTCACATATCACGCCGTTCTTTCTCTCTCTCTATCTCTCTCTGTCACGTTAACTCACCATCACGCTGTCTCTGCCCAAACCCTATATCTGTCTCTCTCTCTCTCACTTCGGAATGGCCAAATAAATCGTTCCGTCGCCAAAAGTCCTAAAGCAACCCGTATACTTTTCTCTCTGTATAGGTACACGCAAGAATAAAACGAAGACAATTAAATGCCAAGAACTAAATCAAAATAAATTGAACTAAAATAACAAAAAAACCAAATAAACTCACTATATCTATCTCTCTCAATCACTTGCTCACCAAACAAACTCACTCGAATCCGTCTCTCTCTCTCTCACGCAATCTCACGACTCTCACCTGCCCCCCACCCACAATAAAAAAGTATGCAAAATGCATAAAAAAGAAAACCAAAATGAAACCAGCAAAGCAAAAAAGCAAAAGTAACCATAACCAAAACAAAATCCAAAACAAAACAAAGTAAAGCAACTACAAGATAATATTCCACACTCTCTATATATATCTATATACATGTATGTATCTCTGTCAGCTTTAAGTATATTTAACAAGAAGTAAACCGAAGCCAGCAAGAAATAAACCGCAACCAACAACTCCAAAACTCCAAACTACAAACTCCAACTCCAACTCCAAACTACAAGATACAAGATACAAACTCCAGACTCCAAGGACACACAAAAAGAAACCAACAGCCAACGCAACAACAGCAACAATATCCAGTAACAACAGCAACAACAGAGATCTAACCAAACCAAACCAAACCAGAAACAAACCAAAATGAAACTATATCCGTACTATATCTCTATATAACTAATAGCTAGCTGTATGCTCTATCCCAAATGTAATTGACCTCGTTACGATTTTTTATGTTTAAAAATTGGCCAGAACGAAACTGAAACACCTAAAGCCCGTACTTGTTGTAACTAAATCTGAATTGTAAAGCTAAAACCAAACAAAAAACGATAGAGCTAAACCCGAAAACGAAACAATCAACCCAACAGCATTGCTATGGCTTAGATCGACGTGTGCTAATATACCATGTGCTATATGCGATTTGAAAACTCCAGGCATTCGTCCATCTGGGCTAAGTTAAGTCTGTGTTGGGGTTGAAGCTAAACCACAAGCCAGAATGAAATCAGACCCAATAAAAGCCTTGAACCCAGCTTTGCAGCGCTATCTGTCTCTCTCCACCACACACACTCTCTCTCTCTCTCTCACTCTCAGTAATAAAGTATATATATAAACCTCAATATATTATATGTATCTCTCGCTCTCTATGTCTGTTTGTCTCACTCTAACATGTGTATTGTGTTTGATTTCTTAGATTAAACGTAAACCGATTTTCAATCATCTTATATAAGCAGTTCTCGTACATTTTTCGCCACATTCAATCAACTCAATTCAATTCAATTCAATTCAACTCGATTCTATTCAAAGTAATTCAATTCAATCTCAAACTCACCTAGATTTTTCATCACGTATTAATACCTAATTCAATTAACATTCTACTTATATATTCAATTATTTTCTATATTGTACGCTCACTCACTCGATCACTCTCTATCTCTGTTTCGTTCGCTCTCGCGCTCTCAACTTCACCGACACCCACACCAAAGCCACTTGAACCACCAAAAGCCACTTAAACCACCACTCCACCACCACCAAGATCACAGATCACAGATCACAGATCACAACTCACCCACCAAGCGCAGCTTAGCGGCTGTGGCACCAAAGTTATGAACTCACCACCGATCACAGACCACTGATCACTGATCACAGATCACTGTCACCGTCACAGTCACTGCTCACCTAGGCAGTACTCAGTATTCACCTCTTAAAGTATGTCTCTCACCACAGCTCAGCTCACGAAACTCACCTCGCTAAGCCGCCACAAACGAACAACAAATCCAAATCCAAATCGATATTCAACCACTGAACCACTCACTGAACCACTCAACCAATCAATCTGCATTCAATTCAATTCAATTCAATTCAATCCTCGATTCAATTCTCAAATTCTGAACTAAGCCATTATCGAAATTTCACAGGTCTCTCTACCTCCTAGCTCTGTGTTTTCTTTTGATTTACAACTACAGCCATAACTAGTAAGACGATCAATCAGTCAATCAGCCAGTCAGTCAGTCAGTCAGTCAGTCAGTCAGTCGAGCGATAACATTTTGAAAAATATCGATTAAGTGGTCATCGTTACAATCAGAAAGCAATTCCAATTCGATAACTAAATCCGCAGCGGACTTTGATTGGTTTAAGAAAAAGTATCATGGCGGCCAGGAATTGGTCAGTTCTCCTTTCTCGTAAAGCACTCTCACATCTCAATCTGAACCTATCCGATCCGAAAACTATATCTTCCATCACCATCTCAGTGGCCGCCTTCAAAATGCAAAAGTACCTCGAAATTTGCATTCCCAGCAGTTCAATCACCTTCGTTTTTCTCACACTCTCTATCTATAACTCTATCTCTTCTATTTCTGGCTCATACACATAAAACCTAGTTTTTTGATTTCTTGAGTTTCGTATTAATCGAAGAAAGGAGCAGCCCATGCTGGCTGAGCAAGTCGAAACAATTGCTGTGACACCTTACTATACTTACCTGCCTAGAATAACCGACAAAAGATAAGAGAAAACCCGAAATGAATTCGAGAACCTCCACAAGAGCAAATTGTACTTATTTCGCAGTAGTCTTAACATTCTCCACTCCGCCTGCAGGCTGAACAGGAGCCCCCCCCGTATGTCCTGTGGGAACTCAGCCTGAGGGCGGAGTGGGGACCCTCCACCTCGTTAATTTATAAGTGAGTTAGCTAATTGTAAGGACCCTCCGGAAGCGGAACAGAAACTATTTTGAACAATATTTGAAAACGACAACTAGCCATATATGAATGTACATAACCAGATATATATCCCCATGTGATAAGCACCCGAGCGACGATCTCGATTCCATTCAGAACAGACATTGCAAACGTTTTGCGTTCCAGAGATTCTCTCATCATCCGTTTTTCGTTTACCTTTTTGGTTCCCTTTTGCGTTGGACTTATTTAACGTAAACCCCTGTCAAGACCTCCAATAATAATGTTCTCTCTCTTCGTCCCGTTCGATAAAAAACAAAAAAATAAAAAACACCAATCGAAACACGATAAATCACACCACAACAAAACAATTACAAACACCGCTTCGATAACGCCTCGATAACGGACGCACAGGTGTCTCATGTCAAAATCGATTCACCTGTTTTTCGCCTGCACACCAACGCAACGGTTATATTACTGATCACATTCTCGATTGCTGTGACGACGCGGCAGTACGTAGGAAATCCCATAGACTGTGTACACACAAGGTAAACCCCAATCGATTGTACCGATAAATGGCATATTTTCTGATTAATTCGATTAATTGCAGAGACATTCCCGAAGATGTTCTCAACACATATTGTTGGATACACTCAACGTATACAGTGGTCGATGCGTTTATGAAGAAGCAAGGTTCCGAGGTGCCTTTTCCCGGAGTTCACAATTCACAGGGCCGCGGCCCTCTAACAATAAAGCACACAAAATATTATCAATGGGTAGCGTTTACACTATTTTTTCAGGTGAGTACCAAAGCTATACTATATATATAATAGGATTTAAGTCACCTTTTTTAATTGTAACGGTGAAAGCTGGAAAGCTTTTAGTTGTGGCATTGGAACTGTCTGAATCTGGGTGGAAAACTGCTAAATATATACACCAACCAAAGAGCTTTTCCGGGGTGGAAAGTGGGAAATGCCTGGGCAGCTTTGCAGTTTGTGGAAATCTTTGTGGAAAAGCTTTTAGCAAGCAAGGAAAAGTTTTTTGCTACATTTTTGAGCTTTGCAAAACGATTTAAAAAAGGATTTTAGGACTAAAACCTTTTTCATTTCTAATTTGTAAACTATTAAAAATTTGAAGATGTTTATTTTAAAATTGAATATATTCAAGTAATCACAGTAACTAAGGTTTAGTTTTTGAAATTTATATTAGAGCCCCTTGATTTCAGCTTGAGGGTGGGAAGTCCAGACTCTGTCTAGCCGACCTTTGGGGGATTCCCAATGCACCAGCAGCAACGACAGCGACTGGATACAACAATGACCTTTCGCACTTGCCGAGGCGTTGTCTCTTTTGTTGTTAGACGGGTCATAAAATCGAGACTCTGATCATCTGGCGATGGAAATGGAAATGGACATGGTGGGGATGACGCATTAATGCGGCACAGACGCTGCAGTTGCTCCAGGCCCCACTGCATGTTGCATGTTGAATACCGGAAAACGAAGCGAGAACTATTTTTGGAAGCGCTTTCTCCAGTTTTTTTTTTCCAGCACCACGCGCCGCTCTGTGCTATTTTTGTTAAAAATACTGAATGCAATCGCTTGACCCCATTTAAACTCAAACCTATGGGCGGCTATGCCTGCATTTTCCCCTTTTTTTCTCGAATTTCCCCCGTTTTTTTCACCGATTTCCCTTAATACAAACGTCTTTTATCAATTTTATGCGCAGGGTGCTTGATATTTCCATTAATTTTATTTATTTACGCCGCCTTCCCGCTGCTTCTGAGGGTGCTGAAAAAATTATAATTTATGTGGCAAGTGTGTGTATAGACCCCACTCTCTCCCCACCTGCCGCCCCTGGGGAATAAGCCAAGAAGTATGTACCATACATATATATCGCTCGGCTCGTTAAGGCCTTTTTGATATCCAATCTTACAAATCATATTTCTTTTCGATCGCAACAAGAACTGACGCAACCGTTTGACATCGCTCATAAAATCCGCGTGTGCGGTTCCCTGTCGATCATAAAATCATAACGAGCCGCAGGGGGGGATGGGTGGGTAGTGCCTGAGACCTGGAAAGGTGGGGGTTCCACGGGGGCGGAACATAGCACAGTCCATCAAAGTGTTTGTCGGGAAACGAGAAACTACATGAAAGTGGCGGGGGGAATTTTATCTGCCCAATAACCACAAGTTTTATGGGACCTCCGTTCCTTTTGTATCTGATTCTACAGAGATATAGGCCTATGTATTTCCCAACAGGGAACATTGGATTTCCCTTAAGAGGGGCTCTAGTTATGCCTCCCATTGGCCCACGGCCATCAAAAGACATAACCCTATGGGCAGTCGATGGTTAATTGACTAAAAATTAACTGAAACAAAAGGAATTTTGATGAAGAAGACTTTAAAAAATATTTAGCATAGGGTAATAGATGCAAAAGCTCTGAGAGAATATCTGATAAATATATAAAAGTGTATCTATCAGATATAAGTAATCTTCAAGGCTTAAAGTTCATGTGACTCCAAGTTTATATTCATTTCAGCAAGAGTAAATTAATGTATTCTTAGCTGGGAGATACTTTAACATTTCAAGAAGCGTTTTCCCCATATTAAAAAATCTCCGTCTTTAATGGTCGCATTTCCGTGAAATAAAACATTGCATTTGGCACTCGGCAAGACACACACCTCTAAAAGGAGGGCCTCGCCCAAAAGAGGTAATTAACATGTTTTTGGGCGGTTTTTAATGCAACATTTGGCGCTGGGCCCAATGACGAAGGGGGGGGAATATCGGAAAATCTTAGGCGACAAAACAGAGTGCCATGCATTTCACATTTCACATCCGGGTAATGTTTTTGTGTGCATTAATGAGTCGCGAGGCCTTCCGGACATTGTCTTCGTCTGGGAAATCAGGGCCAAGAAACGAGAGGACATTGCCTAATGGCCGAATTATGCAGAGAGAATCCGCTCTGCTCCGCCATTGTCTGAAGAAGATGGAGATGGAAATGTTTGGGAAAAGTCGGCTGAGTAAGAAAGGCGACTCACGTAGTCCCTCAAACCAATTGAATTTTGATGGCGGCCTCCATTTGCCATCCTCAATTTGCGGCACTTCCTTCTAAATAAACTGTTGTCTCTGACAATTTTGCGGCAGCTGTCCGACGCGGAATGATATCCGGAACCGGATTCAAAGGACAGTGGAAGCACAGCTGTGGTCATTAAAAAATATTACAATTGAAAAGGTTAAGGTTAAGGGGGTTTTTTTTAAAGAAAAATTATAATTAAATTCGTTGTTATCTCTTGGGAATTTTTATTTTTATTAAATAAAATATGGCATTGACTTTATTATTTAAAAACCATCTCCATATCTATCAATTTGGCCACAGCTGTAGGCCGTTACTGAGGCAGCTGGCCGCTCTGGGACAACTTAATCAAATCGGTCAGCGGATATGTCAGACGCTTTTTATTTCCAGCTCCACACTCCAGTCCCCAGTCCCAGTCCCCCATAAACTCCAATTGATATGCCCCGCATGATGTCTAGGCGCAAGAATCAAAATACGCATAAATCCCGGCTTGGCCGCCGCCACGTCACATATGTATCCTGCCACAGGACATAGGACAAAGGGCTCAACTCTGCTCTGCTGTGCTCGACTCCGTTGGCTTGGCTCCGTCAGGCTGATTGCAGCAATAATGAGCGGAAATCACAACAATGCAGAGCGGAAACCCTTCACTCCGGCACTGAGGGAAAATTGTTTCAGAATATAAAAACAAATGAGTAATAATTCATGGAATAGGGGATATTAAAATCAAGATTTTATTAATGAATTCATTATTAATTATGAAATATTTAAACTTGAAGAAACTTTGAAGCTTTTTCAAGAATTTAACTTCAAATTGGTGTAAGGATTGCCTTTAAGGAACATTTCATCAGACTTTGATCTTTTGTTCCTCAAAATAGTTTAAATTTCCTTATCTTGCAATATTTTTCCAAGTGTATCCTTTGCAATCCCTCTGCCCGAAGATTTTTCAGCTCGAAGTCAGACTCCCAGCGTTGTCCCTTCAAATCATCCGATATCGGGTCCTGGTCGCGTTGTCGCTGTCTCCTTCGCTTTCGTTGTCATCCTCGTTGTCACTCACAGGCTCCTTCTCCCTTTTGCATTTTCCTTTCTCCTCCTTCGTTGTCGTCTCGTGAGTTGTTCGCCATTCGCGAGCGTGCGAGAAATAAATACGAGTATGTAAATAGTTTGCCCAAAGGCACAGTGCCTACAAAAAGTCAAAGAATGGTATTAAAAATTTCTTAAATTATTTATTTTATATTTTATTTTATTATTTACAATTTATTTTAAAACCTTTTATTCGATTTTTGTTAATTTTGAAGTGAATGCAAGGACAAAGGTTCCAGAAATCTTATTTTGGCTCAATTTAATTACTAAAAATTAATATAAAATATATATAAACATAAAAAATATATATAGATTAAATATAATATTATAATAAATTAATTTTTAATTACAATAAGCATATATTTTTTATTTCAAATTATAATTAAAGAAATCAAAGATCTTTTACTACAAAAACTCTCTTTTAATAACAACTTAATTTGTTGGAAGTTGCTACTCTGTCCATTTTGCTCCACTGGCCAAGGCAATGTTTTGATGAGACGACCAAGTTGGTTGTGGAGCTTGGTGGGGGCCTGGTCGGGGTTTATTTTTAGGGGGGGGTGAGGCAGGGGCACTGGGCCTTTTGTTTAACGCTTTTGGGGCTGGCCACAGATTGTTGCAACTACCATACCATTGTTTATGGCCGGCGAATGCAGCTTCTTCGTCGTTCCCGATTTTCTTCCCGGCCAGAATTTCCCCGAGCTCCCCGCCACTTTTCCCGCCTTCCACCGGAAGTGTGCGTGGCTCACGAGCGGAGAACGTGTTGCTGCCGCCCAAAAAATTGTTGGCAGCCACAGAGATCTGCTCTCCGGGCTCTCTCTCTCTCTGTGGCCCTCTCTATGCTCTTGTGCTCCGTTGATTTTCCGCTCTCCGTCAGCTGTGGCCTGTGGCCATTTTCCGAATGCCTTTTCCCGTTTTCCCGGCCAGTGTCTGTTGCGTTGGCAAAGTGAACGCGCGCGCGTCGTTTCCTGCTCCCACTAATCCGAAGTCCAAAGTGTGTTCGCCCGATCTCTTGGCCAGAAATCTCGAAAATCCCACCAAGGAATATCACCTTTGCGTAGCTTCTCCGTAACCTTTCGTTTGTTTTTTTGACTGTGCGTGATCGATAGAAAAATGTGAGGTGCTGGGGTCACCTGAAAAAAGCTCGACCATGTCGGACACATGACCCGCGCTTGTCCCGCGCGACAAAACCGATAACGCTTAACGATTAAACCGATTTAAATCGATAACGCTGGCGAAGCGAGTGTAACTACAACAAGTGCCCAAACCTTTTTTTCTATATTTTCACAACACCCACGAAAAGATCATTGACTGCATTGTGCGGGATCACAACATATCGTAGGAAGCCACATGCCCGCAAAAATGTTATTTATGTATATAGATATGGGCATGGGCGTATATATAAACATATATGTATTTATATATATATATATATAGTATTGTAGGGGCTGTGTGCAGGCCACGGCTTCATCATAATTAACTTTTACAAAGTAAATAAACCAACTGCGAATTCGGGGGCCATGTGTTGTGCCCAAAAACCAAAAGCCAAAAAACCAAAATCAGAAAGCGAAATCAGAAAGCGATCCCGCACAAAATTTGTACAAATTAACATTTGCCAATATTAATGTATCTGTAATCTGGGTCTCCCATTTTC